TTGTCATTCAATATTTCGTCATTAATTATGTCATCATCATTCCTGATGATGACATAATTAATGTCGAAATATTGAATCCCAACACGATGGCGTGTATTTCAATACTTGGAGTATGTATTATACTTTCTTATATATATATATATTATTGCATTCTTTTTGCTTTTCTCTTTTAACGGTGTGACCTGAATATAGTTTTTGGAAAGATGTATAATAATCATTATAATATATAATAATTAGTATACTGTAACTTTACTTAATATGAGATTTCCTGTAGATTTATTATCCAAATAAAAGGGAATCAGGTTATTATAGGCCTCCTATTGTAATCTATATCTAGATACAACTCAACTATTATAATAGAACATTGTAGTTTAGCCTTATATATATATATATAATATTACATTTTTTTGCTTTTCTCTTTTAGCTGTGTGTATAGACTTGAATATACGTTTCTGGAAAATATAATATAATAATCAGTATTATATGATAACAAAGAACTTAAATAGCAGAAGAATGAGCTCCTCACATATTTTGCATTAAATTTAATGGAATGTCCACCCTTTCTAGAATGGAGGAAATAATTTTGTGGCCATTTTACGGAGTGGAGAAACTAAGGAAACAAACAAACCCGAGTGGTGCCTTGGATTTATCTGTTGATTATAAACATATAGCGCCTCAAGGATGGAGGAAAAGTGCTCCATGTATGACCTCATCTACGTTTCAATATATCGCGAACTGCTCTATCTTCTATTTATTATTTTTGATAATAATTAGTATATTAGATATTTGGATTGGTAGGGCAAACAAAAATAATTTGTGTATGTCAACACATCATAACTTAACCTACTTACTGGTTAGAGTGTTGATGTCACAGAAATATCGGTTATATTTTTTGGCTCCAGTGCGCTGCACTTCCTTGTACAAACAACAAGCATCCAGTGTGCTGATTACAAGCACACTGTTCGGTGCACTAATGTGAGGAAGATGCTTGTGTTGCGTAACACGGCCAACATTCCTACTGGTCATACAAAGGCCATCTGACCTTACTATTTATACTGTATTCATATCACAAACATAGGGAAGCTAGTACATGAAAGGAATACCAGACATCACAATTACTGTATTGTTGGTATCTGATAGGACTTGGAAAATAAAAGCTTGGACGATTAAGTTGTGTCTCCAAACTGTCTTCTTGCCTGTGGTAACTGCAACATAACATTTACCCCACCTAAAATAAGGAGGTTTAGTAAAATTGCAATCAGACAAATGCAGTTATGTAAATCAATTATTTTTATATCGATGCGGGAATAAAAGAACATTTTTTTTTTTTGCTGCACCATTTATTTTAAACAGCATAAAAAAACACAATGCAGTTTTGTGAATGAAAATACATTTTCTTTAAGAAGCAATAAAATTAAACCAGTTATTATACAATATTTACAATATTCTTGCCAAATGAAAACGGTCCCTCCCTCATAAAAAAAGTAATAAACCGCCTGCCCTCGTCACTTTTTTTTTTTTAAATTCTAAGTTTTAACTACAAGAATAATTATAATGATTGGACAAATTACAAACTTTCAGCAAACTTTTCTTCACTTTATTAATATTTGTAATATTATTATAATATCTATTATCATTATCACCATCATCATTGTCATCATTATTATTACTACTAGTACAGTAGAACCCCTATTAGAAGGACACCTTAATAGGGGTGTCGTCTGAATAGGGGTACTCCTGTTCAGAGGCATTAACCAAAAACGTGAAATTGTCCCCTTAAGTTCTTCCTAATTTTATTTTAATTAACCTAAGAATGAGTTACAGTTTAAAGATTAGTTATAATTAACAATTTGTAATGCAAAAAATAATTCATTTAAGAAATGAAATTAACAGATATGTAATTAAAACTACAAAATGTGTGTATGTCCCCGATATTATTTCTTTATTTGAGTGCATTTTTAATAACCAAATATTCTTTTTTAAATATTGAGCTTTTTATTGGATGCACAAGATAGAATACCATTAACAGATGTTACCAACTTAGAAACCAGGGTGCAGGCTGTCGTATCAAAATACACAAAACAAGAAATCTCCATAGTTGATGGTCAAAATTGACAAAATTTTATTTTATACGAATTAACACATGCACTATGCATCCAACGCCCATTCTATAAATTGAAACAATTCTGGTTTGTTTATTTCTCAAAAGGTGTCAAAATGTAAATTTGAATGATTTTTTAATTTTTATTTTGTGGCTACTGTAATTGTGTTGATACAATAAAAAAAAGTGTTCCCTGAATAGGGGTGAAACTGTATTGATTTGACCCTTTTGCACACTCAAAAAGTGTCCCTGTCCCCTTAATAGGGGTTGACTGTAATGTTGAAAGATACATTGAACCTCGTTCATGGAAAAGTGTCCCCTTAATAGGGGTGTCCCAAAGGAGGGGTTCTAGTAACTGTAGTAGTATTTGATTTGATTTTTTTTAAGTTCGATAAATCCACCGTCTGAGCGGTAAAGCCGTTATAATCCCGAAAAAGTTTTTTTTTTTTTTTTTTTTTTTTTTTTGCATTATGGTTTATAGGCGTACATTGTTTTTTTCTAATGAATATTCCACCTGGGTTACTATCAGGGTAGTTTGACTTTTATAATTAGACGTTTATTGTGGGTTTCTATCAGAGCACAAACATGATATAGTAGAAGGAGTCAATTAGAAATTGTACAGCATTTAAATCATCACCAAACTCCGTGTAGGTGGGGATGGGGGTTAAAAAATTGTAATTGCAAAGTGACACTTCGTCCTCGGAGTTGACTATCACTATCACATAGAGTAGGTCAGCAAAATGAGTTATAACAAACCATGCATAAACATTTCACGCTTAGGCCTGTGTTATAATTATGTATTTATATGTATAACGTGTGCTGATGTATATTTAGACTTACATATTTTAGAAGTAATTCATTTATAGTGATTCCAGGAAAAAATTAGTATTGGCTAGCAAACAATAGTTTTAAAGTACTAACACTGTGTACAAAGAGGGGAGGGCGACTCCCACGGAACCCCCTCCCCCGATATTCCCCTGACTCAGCAAAGTGTACGAGGTCTTGTGTTATCGTCGATCGTGTGCGGAATGATCTATTTTATAGTACAGTAAAGAGAATATTTACTACACTCGTATTATAAATGTTTAATGTAAAACTATCCCAAATCTATAAAATGACGAATTTTTACTTGTGCACAGTCGGCGAAGTTGACTGGGTAAATAATTGAAAAATGAAGCTTCTACGTCCACATCTTCTTGTAAAAATGCTCAAACGAACTCAAGAAGAAAAGAAGGAACTCGCCATTTTAAACACGATGCAAGTTGTATTTATTTACTGGTACTTCGTGTTATTGTGAGCTATGTTCCAACCTAATTTTAAAGATAATAAAATCAATGCTTGGCGACAGTGCAACCATGAGAGTAAATTGTAGGTTTTGGGTTGACAGTGAATTTCTAGCTCTATCGGGAGAATGTCGTCTGGTGTGTCTAGAGTCTCGAGAACGGCTTTGTTTCCACTTTTTTTAAAGGCCAAGAGCAGTCTCGCAACCCTCAGAAATGTTTTGGCGACCCATCCAAGAAAATAAAGATTTTTTAGAAGAAACATAAGTATTCAACAAACCATTCGAAGTGAGATTGAGGAATGCCTAACAGATACTAATTTTGTAAGAACACCGAGACTGAATGCTTAAAAAATAAGAACAAAATAAGACTCACAAGTTGAGGCTGAGGTCAAATTTCAAATGCGTTTTTATTTAAAATCTACCAACAAAAAAATCTTTTAGTCTTATGTGCACTAGGTGTGATTACGTTTTACTGATTTACCGAACCACAAGGTGTATTAAAAATGATTTCTTTTTTATTGATAGGCCTACTCGCTATGCAAACATTCAAGAAATATTTTACTGGTTGTTATAAAAAAAAATGCTGTAGGTCTGCGCATCTGCTGAGGACTTATGTAGGTTGATGATGATGTGATGATTGATAATTATGATTGCACATATTAATTAATCAATTTATCAAACATAACCAATCAATCAAGCAATAAATAAATAAATCAATCAATCAATCAGTCACCAAAATTAATCACTTCACCATAGAGGAATAATTTAAACTTCCCTCCATGATTTAAAGGCGCTAAAGCAGTGGCAGCTTCGTTGCACTATAAAATAGGTTCAAATGAAATAGTCTTACAAATAAAGTCGTGAAATTTCCGAATAAAATCGTTGATTCAACGTTGTTGCGTCAGACGGAATTAGGCAATCTGTATGCAAACCGACCTTGGAAGCAGCAGTTCCGGTAAAGGAGTGACGAAATTGTTGTAGGTTATGGAGCGCCACATTGCTCATTTACGTTTGAACATAGACAATTTACCCACGTAACCTACTGCGCCAGGGAGCTCCACGGCTCGAAATGATTTCTGATTTAACGTAAATTTCATATTTAATATACAATCGATCTATTATTAACATAACGTTTTAAATCATTAAACTAAAAATATGTACTGTAATGAAAACGAACATGTATGGGAGCACAAAGGCGTTTCATATATAAAATGTTTTGTTTGAGAACGTCGAGAGAACGTTGAATAGGTTGTTTTATATTTGAGCCACGATTGGCCAGAAGAGAGTCAATAACAAACGCATTGATGGATTGAAAGGTATAAAAGGCCAGCTTATAACGATCGTAAAAACATACGACATTCTACAAGATTGAATCTCAATATTCCGGACGGGGAGGTATTTCACATTTGCATAGCTGTTCATTGCAACAAGAAATATATTTAGTCAAAACATATTACTGACCTGACTTTCCACAGTAGAAATGGCAACTACAGAATCTGATCCAAGAACTCCGGATGATAATCCCAGAACTGGTGGAGACGATCCAAGAATGGGTGGTGGTCCCGGTGGTGGTGATCCAAGAATCGGCGGTGGTGATCCAAGAATCGGTGGTGGTGATCCAAGGATTGGTGGTGGTGATCCAAGGATCGGTGGTGGTGACCCAAGAATGGGTGGTGGAGACCCAAGAATGGGTGGTGGTCGAGGAGGTGGTCGAGGCGATTGTGGCCGAGGAGGTGGTGGCCGAGGAGGTGGTGGTCGAGGAGGTGGTGGACGAGGAGATTGTGGCCGAGGAGAAAGTGGTCGAGGTGGAGGTAGTCACCGAGGAAGTCGTGGTGGTGGCCGTGGGGGTGACAGTTATCGAGGAGGTTTTGGCCGAGGAGATGAAGGCTTTAATGAATCCGCTGGAGATTTAAACAGAGGACCTGTTGATGTTGGACGAGGAGGAAGCAGAGGAGGTGGCAATAGCCGTGGTGGTAGTCGAGGTGGCCGAGGAGTTGGCGATCACGAACTCTCCTCGACAGACAAATCGGATTAGAATACAGTATTAGCCGCTGGTGGTATAGACCCACAAACAGTATATATTTATACGTTGTGGGACTTTTAGATTGTAAGCCGGGGCGCAATCCAACTTGTTTTAATATCACTTAACGGTAAACATTGTCATCAATTGATTGGATACCCGTATTTGAATTTGTATAATACTGTAATATAGACTAGGGCCTATAACATAAATAATAATAAAAATTTAGAGCAATAGGCCTACTTACGTTAAGACTGCAAGTTTAAATATCAAAGTATAAAATTATTTTCTGATTGAGATACCATTTTGTTATTTTCTGCTTCCGGTGCATGGTATTATAATATCCCATTAAAAAATATACGACAATTCCAATAATAATAATAATAATGATGATGATAATAATAATAATAATAATCATAAATATTCAATCAATATATGCCTGAGTTGTTTAAAAGCATATCACCATGTTGGTTAAAGGTGATGTTTATGATACCATATTTTAATGCTCTAATTACATTAAAACTATTACAAATTATTTATGAGAGATGCTTCTGTTATATATTCAGGCTGCTATGCTATTTGCATGTTTCTGCAAATAATTTTCAATTCATTTGATTTCCAATGCATTTTCAATTTTGTAATGTTTAATGAATAATAATACTGTAATAATAAAATTACCTAAATCAAAATCTAAATTTGAGTAAAGAATACATTTTTTTGGACGAAAAAATAATTTGCATTACGTAATATGCCTATTTAAATTGACTTCGACTTTTTGACTGCCAACAAAGAATCAAGAATTAAAATAAAACAATGGACTGCTTATTTAAAACAGAAAGAAATCAACTCGGATAATATAAAAGAACTAATAAAAAATAGAACAAATTGAATTTGGTGGATGCTATACAATATTATGTTCCGGATCATCAGTTTATCAATACGCTTCATATTAAACATAAACATACAATCCCAGGGTAATTACAATCCGTATGATATTCAACATTACCGTTCCATATATATGACAAGATTTAATTCATTAATGCAGTATTAAGTATGGCGAGCCGAATTATAATTTAATCGTAAATAGAGATATCTTAGTTTTAAATAGAAATATCTATTTTAAATAGAGATATCTTAGTTTTAAATAGAGATGTCTTAGTTTTTTTAATAGAGATATCTCTGTTAATAGATACCGGTATCTCTATTTAAAACTAATATATGTACCGTATTTATTATTAAATGACAATTCGGCTCGCCATAATTAAGCATATCAAAAACACATGCGGGCATTGTCAGGTACAATATAAAATAGGTATCATTTATTATCTGTTAGGCCTACAAAGAAGGAAAATAGTTACGACTGCGCTGAAGAAAAATGACAGATGGGATATGAGGCCGTATGTAGTTGGGTGAGAGTACAGTTCAAGATGTGTATAAGAAATACTATAGCAGCCGGCCATTGCAAATCAAGAACAATCGAATATCAGCCAGAATATCCAACATCTAGAATCGATAATATAAAAAGCAACACATTAATTTAAACGACTAAGGTGCTGTTGTATGCTGATTATCGTACAGCAATAAACAGAGAGCAAAAGTGCGCATGTACAAATATGACACATGACCAACCTCAGCCAATCCGGTAACGTCCTGTCCATGTGGATAGAGAATTAAATGCGAAATGAAGTTTCCCTTTTGACTATTACTGTAATGTTATTTTTATTTATAATGTAATTATATTGTGTACATACATTATTTGTTTATTACGAATGCTTTATATTCTGTAACAGGTTTTTTTTTTTTTTTTTTTCCAAGATGATAAACCGTTTAATTGGACTAAATTCTTGCACCACCACATCCACCTGCTTAACTAAGATCATACTGACACTGGTTTCATATGAATTAACTGACAACTTTGGTTTGTATCGATGTTTTAATAAGTACATAAAACTATGTCACAAATACGTATGGAAAAATGCACAGGGACACCACGCTGTTTTTGTATTTTTCTTGAAATCTGTATGCCTGATCACATGTGTTTTTTTTTTTATCACACCGGGTCATAAATAACTAACCGGGAAAAGTATTACCTTTGCCCCCCTTCCCCGACCCAAGACCCCTGTTACGCGCCTGCAAACATGCCTTTGGAACAGTTTTTTCCCCCCGAGTTTTATTTACCTTTACGTCGACTCCGTCTAAGAAAGCACCAGGGTTAATCACACAACATTATCACTGTTGAAAAAAAATCACTGTCAAGTAGTTAAAAATCGCCTTATTTTGCGAATTAGTGCCCCACTTCACCTTCGATACACATCTAGAGGTGTATAAGAGACAGCCTCTCCCCTCATTTAAAGACATCTAGATACGCCACTGACTTACATGGCCAGATGAATGAGAATACTGTCCTCAATCGATGTGCCACCAAATTGTAACCAACCTTCACCATGCCCTCACGATGTCACCGGGGACGTAACTGCCAAAAACTATTTTTGGCAGCGAAGGGACGCTACCAATAAGCAATCAACAAACTACCGTGTTTCTGGGTTGATTTGAAATGTATACATGGCTCAACTATTTTTTACTTAGGGGATAATTCGTAAAAATCGCACACAAATCATACGACGTCACGGACAACGCCGGGGACGGCAACTCGATTTTGAGATTAATTTTCCGAATAAGGTTATACTAAATAACTTCTAATAACGAACTATTGTCTTTGTTGGTCATTCAACTGCCATTTTATCTATTTTTTTCGGTGATATTACCATTCTCAATAATCTATAAAACACCCACATAACAACGTCATGTTAGATCGATCGGTGGGGACGCTGTGGTGACGCCGGTAGGGTCACGTTTCGTCGGAAGGTATCAAAATGATAAACAGTTTCATTGGACTAAATTCTTGCTTATGTTAACCACCTGCTTACCTAAGATTATACTGACACTCAATGAAATAACTGAAAACTTTGGTCTGTATCAATGTTTTAATAAGTACATAAAACTATGTCACAAATACGTATGCAAAAGTACATAAAACTATGTCACAAATACGTATGCAAACAGGGGCGGATCCAGAGGAGGGGGAAAAGAAGGCCCCCCCCCCCGGTCAGTCAAGACCCCTGTCAGTCAAGCCGAAAAATAAAAAAGAGGGTGACAAATTTGAGTTAAAGAGAGGAAGAGCTAAAAAGGGAGTGCACCCATGAGTTCAGTAACGATACAGCAGTGGGCGAAAGGAAAGCTCGATTATTTACCACTTATTGGTGGGGCTGAGGAGGGCGTGGTGGCGTGAACTGCATATTAAATTCAACGCAACGCCCACCACTTACATCGGATGTACGACCAGAAGTTCCTTATGAGAGGCCACTCTCATGAAGGTGTGAGCTGAGAGGTCCTAGGCCTGCTTTTACACCAAGAAACACTTATGTTCGGTAGACTTAAGTACTGTAAACAGCGGCCTTAGAAGTGGGCGAGTATTTTTTAAAGATGATACTGAAAATAATACAGGTTTCCCTCTACTGTAAAGACTACTTTTGGGACCGAGGTTTCCGTGGTCTTTAGCAGCTTTGGTCTCTCATTAGAATAATAAAGAAAAAAGAAATTTGTTAATTTATGACCACATAATAGTGGTCCTTAATTGGAGGTGGTCTTTCTTTGGAGGGAGACCTGTAATAGAAAGTAATGATGTGAGGGCGCTCTGCAACCCTAACCTTCAGAGCCGTAGATAGAGAGAGTTTGGCCAACTCGGTTTCAATCACGTGACTTACACCGGCCATGTTGTCACCAACGCGATAGGGTAGGAAGTTAGCAGTAATATTATAGATGATTGATTAATGCTATAATTATAATGTGAAATACCTTTATGTTGGGTTTGGGGTTGCTGCAATCGATCCAACAAAGAAACAAAAATGTATTAATTTCCTTAAATTCCAAAAAGGAGGAGGATTTGGGATTTTATTTTAACTTTGCATGGCGATCGAAAAATCTCGCTATCCACGTAGTAAATTATAAATAAGGCATGTACCGCCGCCCGCCCCACTTCGCGGTAATATATTATATATCCACCTACTACTACTAACTAGGCCTAAATTTCGGTACTGCTTCGGCCGAACACCGTAAGGTAGTACTTAAATCGGCTTAATTACGATGATAATAAAAAATAAAAAGGAAAGGAAGAATTTTCAAGCAGCAATGATTTATAAAAAGATGCAATGTTGCACTTTGCTGTTAAATTATATATAGGCCTAACTATCCAGAAAGCTACATGAAGAATCAGTCAAAGGTAGCTTAAATTATAATTAAAAATAAAAATTGAATCCTCCAATAAAAGCGAAAACTTGTCCAAGGAGGCCTGTGCTATGCAAACATGCCCAATTGTGCTTTACAAATCAATTAATTGTGCAATTAAAGATTTTAAAGATAAAAATATATTTTAAAGATAGGGCCTTTGCCTAATTGTATTATAATATATTGATTGTTTTAATACATATTTTAAATCAAAACGTTTAAATGTTTTACAAATTACAAATCAAAATTTCAATGAATAATAATAAATAATAATAATAATAAATAATAATACAATAATAATGATAATATTATAACTCACTAATATTATAAACAAAGTATGGAGATTGCTGCTATTTTACTTACAAGGCCTAGCTTCTTGATTATGAATGATTAGGCATATGTTGTACAAAAATTTCACTCAATGCAATAATTCTTCAACTTTGATTTATTGTTTAGATTACAATTTACAAATAGGCCTAGGCCTATGCTATTGTATTGGTTTGCAGATGACCAGCATATTATTTCATAAATTTAAAGTTTACGAAGTCATAGGCCTAACCTAAAGGCCTAGATACAATTATAAAACTTTCATGTTATTAATATTTTTATCATTCATTTACAGGCGAAATTAACATATTATCGCCGACGATTCACAAACCTACTCTGTCTGCACAACCAACCTTTCTCCTCTGCAGTGTTGACTCTTAGTCTTAGGAGCTTCAGAGGAGGCTGCTAGCAACTAGATAGGCCTAGGCCTAGGCCTAGATGATAGACTTTCAAAACAAAAAGATAATCGTAACGAGAAAAAAAAATAAAGAATCGTCCTCACTTTATCTTCTCGAAATAATACAGCACGTCACTGATTAATTAATTCCAAAGTTAGGTAAATATGATTATATATGATATTTACAATGATATGTTAAAATCTCATAATTGAATTGTCCTCATGAACAGAATAATGAAAGAAAGTTTATGCAGCATCAGTGTTTTATAAAATGTTATAAAGCTGTACGCGCGCACGCTGTTTGGTGACAACATGGCGCCCATGCGCCAAGTTGGCCAAACTCTCTCTATCTACGGCTCTGCTAACCTTATTCGAGGAGCACATATTTTTGAATTATAGATGATAAAATATAAAATATCAAATTTGTAAAAATAATTTTTTAAGAATAGAAACTGATAGTTATGTTGATTAACTTCATGAAAAAAAAAACACCTATATAATGGTCTACAACATTATAAGTTTTGTTGGTTGATGTGATCATATGAAATTACGGTAGGCCTATTTAATATAAAAAATTATTTTGCTAATAATATTTACCGTATACCAGGCCTTTCACATAAGACGTATATTTCAATGAATAGCAAAACAAACAAAAAAAAAAAAAAAACAAAAAAAAAAACAGTAACGGGTGTTCATTTCCACAGGCTGAATTTGTAGAAATGCGCTATACAATCAACAAGTAATAGGCATATTTCATTTAATAGCAGACGAAAAACGTGTATATTATATGATGCTCATAAACGGTACGTTAGGCCTACTTTCATTTTTGAAAGCTGTTCTTTTCCACAGGCCTCAATTTGGTAGAAATGTGCGTATTCATTAATAATTGATTAATCTAATAAATAATTATGAAAATGGACCTTTCCGAAGTGTTAATCAAACTTGACCACTGATCAACCAGGACTAGAAATACGCGCGTGTCTCACAAGCACGTGTTGTCCCCAGCAACGCACATGTTTACTCTATTATTTTGCTTTCAAGGGGCGGGGCTTAGCGACAGGTCCATTTCCATTATTAATTAATTTACAGCTGTATATTATTGGAGAATTTATCTACTTTTACTGTAGTTATGTGCATTTCTATTTTTTTTTACACAATTTAAACATTTTTCCATGTAATATATTTTTGATAACATGTACTTTCCTATTTTTACGATGGATAAAATGAATCTGTTTATCGCCGTTCATTGTTTTTTTTTTTCTGTAGGCCTATATTCATTCGAAAAATATAACGGCAAAAGCAATGGCTGAAAATAGCGATTTATTTGCTGGTTGTATTTTTTTTTTTTTTTTTTTTTTTAATTTAAGATTATTCCATGTAATTTATTTTTGTAACATGTATACTTTCCTGTTTTTACGATGGATAAAATGAATATGTTTATCGCTGTTCATTTTTTTTTTCTGTAGGCCTATATTTATTCGAAAAATATAACGGCGAAAGCAATGGCTAAAAATAGCGATTTATTTGCTGTTTGTATTTTTTGTTTTCATAATCTAACATTTTTCCATGTAATTTATTTATTTGATATCATATACTTTTCTGGGTTTTTTTTCTTTTCTTTTTTACGATGGATAATAAATGAATCTGTACTTTATCGCCGTTCATTTTTTTCTGTAAAGAGTTATATTCATGCAAAAAAATATAAACGATGAAAGCAATGGCTAACAATAGCGATATTTGCTCAAAGAATTTTAGCGACGCCCGACCACGCACACTTTGCTCTCGTCGAGGAATCTGGTCGGGCAAATCCTGCCACCGCCCCTGGTCACTGAGGAAAAGTTGTGATGTTTTTAGGCAAATTTTGTTCTATATGCATGAATTGTATACACCAATGTATTCACAAGTATAAGAACATGCCTACTTGCAATTATAAGGAGGATGAAAATAAAAATAATAATAAAATAAATTATAAAAATGCTTCATCAACTTCAGAAAATAGGTTATTGAATTAAAACACACTTAGGCCTATGGAATACACAAACGGAAATGTCATGGAAAAAAATCATTGATTTATACAAGAAGTGTGAACAATCTTTATTTGTTTTAAGAACTTTAGAGGGAAATATAAAAAAAAATGTTCTTAGGAAGTTGATCCGACGAGTGAAAATACAATAGCATCCATGCTATAATAATTATCTGTGATAAAAAAAAATAATAATGCATGCGATAATGATTGACTGATTGAATTTATTCGATGCTCAACATGCACAAACAATATAAAAGATTTGAGAACAAGGAAAGTAAAAATTAATGAGCATCAGGAGATGACGAGGATGCTGAGCTGAGGATAATGATGGCAAATGATAAAGATGATGTTAATGATGCTAACGATATGATGATGATGACTTTGGTAATATAAAGATGATGTTAACGATGAAAATGATGATAATGGTGAGTAGGAAATAAGGATCATATGACCACACCTCTCCTACAAGATGTCCCATTTGTATAATTCGACATAGCGCCCTCACTACAGTTCACGGAAGCTCAAGATGGCGACGACCGTGTTGTGGTGAAAGGAGTGGTCAGGATTCCGGCTTGGAAATTCATATTATTTTATTCAAAATGCCGCAGTGGGTACAGACTAATACAGATGCAAAGTATGGAGTAGGTAAGTGAATTGTCTAATCATTCTGGACGATCATATCATCACAATCAATCGAATCCACGCCAAACAAGTGTTACCCCTGTCTCTACTCAGTCCTCACTTTGCGGACGATACACCGACAGCAGGGAGACAGTGATACGGAAGTACAGTTATGTTTGGCCAGCCAAGCGGAAATGTCCAGCCAGTGACAGACTTTGTTGTCAAGTTGATCTGAGATCGTTGTACAAAATATTCTAAACAAGAATCCCAAAATTGGGTAATCATTGATATAGGCTTATGTCTTTAAAATTGTGTCACCGAGGACTTCATTTCGCATTTTAATTTTATTCAAGTGTCCGTTTTCAATTTGTCTGTCATCATTGTTAGAAAAAAAAAAAACAAAAAAAAAACAATAAAAAAAAAAAAAAAAAAAAAAACTCTGTTTAAAAGCACTAAGACATGATGGCATGCAATAAAAGTACAAAGATGACTATAGATTAGGTTTAAGGTACTAATCATGGAGGAATTAGTTTGATCTAATCCAGCATTGTTAGGCCCATGGAATTAGTTTTAGCTTATCCTGGACCTTTGTTTGACAACAGTGACCAGGCAAACAACTTTTTAATATTGTTTAGAAAGATCCACACCAAGCATTACTTGATAAAACATTGCACCCCCTGCAGTAACACAAAAACATGAAATACAACACATTTATTTAAAGAGAAATACTTAACATTCTGACTGCTAGGGGTTTGAAAAAAGTAGTATCAATCACCGCCAGACTTTTTAGTAAATTTTAACACTTTTCCGAAGCTTGTTGAGAGTGTGTATGTGATCAGATTGACATGTAGTGAATTCTACAACAACTACAAACATTTTAGCTTTACAATGGTACCAAATACTTTATTCTAATCACAATCTGTGACCTGTAACAGTAAAATGAAAATGACTTACTTTTGGAGATTTAAAAATTTCGCACAATGAACCTGAGTTATTCGCAATTTTGTGAAAGTAAATTAATCAATACCGCTCTACGCTAATGTGAACAAACAAATAGTGAAATACTTACGGTCAAGACTGAATATAGTGTTCAAATTGTTAGTACATGTCGGTAATTACCCCATTTATCGGATTCCGTAAAAAAACCTGAAACAGAGATCTCCGTGTTTGGTGGTCAAGCGTTGCGTTACCGAACACGGAGATCTCTGTGTTTGGCGGGCAGAGTGTTAATTAAAATGTTATAGACTTGATTATTAAATACTGACTTCACTTAAAATACAAACACACCTGGTCGGGATTTATATAAAAAAATATTGGCCAGTACATGAAAGGTTGTCAGTAATTAGTATTACAGGGCCTTGACCTTCCAATCCATTCAGATTATGTGCTGACCATCAACTGCCTTCTTCAGATTAAAAAAAAAAAACACTGAATAAATCTGAATCTAGTAACAAACAGTACTACTAGGCCTATCCATAACAATATCATTGGTCTATACAATTACAAGGACCACAATGGAAATAGGCAATTATTTTGAGCTTTTAATTTTATCCTTACATTTGGTGATTTGTTTTTGTGAATTTGTTTTGTTGAATCGCTGAATAAATTTGAAATGCAATCAAACGTACACTCAGTTTACTTCTTGATAAACTGGATATAATTATTTATATGCCGCATCATTTCCTACTGGTACTTAAATTTAGTCACAATTAACTAACTGTAACAATAACCAAAATTGCAATTTATTATAACGATGTAATTACCCATTGGCACTGACTGGTACAATTCTTGTATACCTAAGGAATGTGTGTTAAGGTATGTAAACAACAAAACTTGTGGGTTAGTAATTCTGTATTCCTCAACAGGTTGTAATTACCTACAGTACTTGTCAGCCTTCAATTATTGTGTTATATCAGTTGTTTGCTTAAACCAGAAACCTGTTGGAATCAAGTATTTTATATTTATTGCCATGTCCCTGTTTTATGATCTAAGTATAATGAATTACTGTACTATTACTAGTGCAGCAGCTGTTATACACATTCGCACATGACGTTGTATAAGATGTTTGAATAAATTGTTATGAAAAGTTTATTATGGTAACCATCTAATTTTTATGTTTGAACTTTGGTCTGAGTAATAAATCAATCATGCATAGACAATCTGCTTGTTAGAAAATCAATAATTAATATTATTTTAAGAAAGATTGCAGGTGTAAAATTTTATTATTGCTTATCAAAGATGGAACCTGTGATTGCTGGATTGCATCACATCCAGATTGTAAAATAATATTTATTCAATTCATTATACTATCTAATTAATAAAGTAAAGTCTACTTCGTTAATACACTGTACTTACTGGATAAAATAACTAATCTCCTACAGTATTCTCTCCCAAAAGAAAACACTCCTTGAAAATAAAATAAATTTAGTTTAGTTAATTCATAAGAAAGTGTATTTAATATAGTTTACCTCCATGGTTTAATAAGGTTTAATATGCCATGACAGTTTAGTTGTATAGTTAATTTAGTTACTGTAGTTTAATGTAGTTTAGATAATTTAGTAAATTTTGTATATTTTACTGATTTAGTTTACTTAGTCATTTATCTCCACTAATGCTAGCTCTAGACAGTTACTGTACTGTAAGAAAAACCAAAATAAAGATTGATAAGTAATCTATATAAAATATATGACATACCTGGTTACTGTACAGTATGACACTTTGATAAATTGATTAGACTTATGCCTACACCCTATTGGGTGAATAATTATTTAAGGTAATTTATTCTGATCCAATGTAAAATTGTAGCAGTTCAGTTTTATTCTGCAAGTATGAGTTGTTTTTGATAAACCTTTTTGAATGAAATTAATTAAATTAATAAGTGAATGAATAATAAATAAATAAATGAATGAATAAAGTCAAAGTTGTTTTCGAAGTGACACATATCTCTCTGTTTTATCCGCTGATAACTAGCACTCGTAAGTTTGCAAGTAAATGCCATGTAATAGCATTGTTGTATCGTCATGGTGTTCGGATGTATTTTACAACCATCTCGATTTTAAACGGCAGTCTTACGTGTCAAGAATTGAGGCTGACGTTGAAGAGTAATGGCTTTAATTTACAGTAGCAGTTACAGCAGAAATGTGAAATTTAATGTTGTGGCATTCATATTGGTTACTAGTTCAGTGGCCATGCCAAGATTGTGGATAAGATGTTTTTTTTTGATAATTAAAGTTAATTGGTAACATATATATAACGGTAATTAATACTGTAATGATAACTAAAATGGTCCCGATGTTGATAGTGTTATTTATTTTACAGAAGTCCATAACAACCGATCTTCAATTGATGCATTTTATTATTACATTCTTTTGTAAATTAATTGTTTATAATTTCATCAAATAGTAACTGACAATAAAACAGATTCATAAATAATATTATTACTTAGCCTCGTCATTAATTTAAAAAAGGGTTACATGTTGAAAGCATTTCTTCTAATGTAATTCCATACATCTCATTTTCATAATTTTGTATATTGTTATACAAAAAAAAATGGAAATGGAAGTGTTATTTATGCCAATGAGGTAACGGTTTTTATGTAAAAAGATTGGCCTGCTATTTCAATTTGTTTTTGTTTACTTGGATGAATTGAGTTTTAAACCATTGTATACACCACCTACCCTGTACTGTATGACAACAAAGCTCCCAAATTTGTTATTTTGGAACTATTTTTTGTGGTGGTGATTGATTACCATATGATCAACTGTAAGTAGATACTTTGAAATAGAAACAAGTTCTCGTAATCTTGAAAGCTCCGATGAGGGCAGTATAATAGAGGCAGTAGAGTACTGTATATTGGCCCTAAGCGGCCACCCATACAAAAAAGATCTGTTAACCAATCAGCCGAGTGTTTCTGAAGTTCCTAAAAAGTGCCTCATATTCAGCTTTTCAAAAACCCCCAAAAATCTTTTTAAATTGGCTTAAATTATTAGTACTCTTCTATTACATACAATAAAGCCCCTTTCACTCGGAGCTGCAATACCGCAATATTGCGGTAAGTACGCTGACATGGGTTTCTGTCTGAAAGGGTCGGTACACCAATATGTCAGCTTAATTAAGCCACCTTTCACCCGAGTAATATTTCCGCAATATTGCGGTAACGTTTACGGGCTAGCTCTGTCTGAAAGGGTGTACGCGATATTGCGGCAATCAAGTTGGCGTGTGCATATATGAGGCATGTTGCGGCGAAATGGTTAAGTTGTCGCACAGGCCAGTATTGAGTAAATGAGCTTTAAAATATGCGAGCTCAAAAAATCACCTAAAAATCCAAATTTGTTTTTTATTATAGATCAAAAGTTTAATATTTTTTTAATCATGTACCAAAGTTTTAGTTCTTTAACTGGTCAACAAATTGTTTATTTAATGTTATTTTGATAGTTCATTCTATTAAACAATGTATGCACAAATAACTTTGAAAGGCAATTACTCAAAATCATGTTTATCTTGACTCTAAGAGTACTGTACTTTCACTTTCCAATAACTTAGGCTTGAAATGGCCAATTTCAATTAATGACCCCTCATTTTAAAGATCACATACTTAGGTATCTGAAAATACCAATAACTTGAATTTCAATTTTTGCTACAACTTAGCTATTTTGCCACAACATGCCTCATATGCATAAACAAACAAGGTTAAAGTTGAAAACAATTGCGCCAAACAAAAACCGCCAATATTACGCCATTTTATATGACCCTTTCAGACAGAAAGGCATAAGATTACCCAATATTGCGGTAACACAGGCGCTATGTGAAAGGGCATATAGTAGACCGGTTATTATACCAGCATGCTTACCGCAATATTGCTGCAACGTCTATCTGAAAGGGGCTTTCGTGACTCAATATTTGAATGTTTAAATGTTGTATTGTAATGTTTTGTTTACTTTGTGTTTCAGTTGTTATCTTCAAATAATACTTAAATGTACAAAGTACAGCACAATTCGTTACCCTGTCCTCTGTGTTAATAGGTT